GGTCAAACAAATCATCAATGCGAGGCAACGGATACTTGTTGCGAACTGTCACTTTATTCAACTGTCTGTAGTCAACACACAATCTCATTGTGCCATCTTTCTTCTTCACAAACAAAACTAGCGTCACCATGAAGATACACTAGGTATGATAAAGCCCTTGTCTACCAACACTTGCAACTAAACTTATAACACTTTCATTTCTACTGGAGCCATTCTATATGGTGCCCGTCCAATTCCTGGGATCAAATCTAAATATCCCTCTCTAATGGTAAACTCGATAGTTATTCTAGAAATATATCATGAAAGTCTCTGACCACTAGGATGTCTTCGAACTTTATTTTGCTAGCATCCGTATCAATCCCATTAGCCAAATATGCATAACAACTCCTATTGAGTAATCTTCTAGCATTAATAGCGGATATCACATAAGATAGTAAAGTCATGTTATCTAGTGAATTTATTAAGGCTGTTCTGATTGTTGAAACACAACCTCCTTTCGAAAAGAATCAATTGAAGCTCGGTTTGTAGCTCAAAGTTCCATACCCAGAATAACATCAAAATCATGTATGCCAAGAGGTATCAAATTTGCCTTTAGTTCGTGCTTATTTACTTTAATCTCACAATCTCGATATATACTATTTGCTAATAATGATACATCTACTAGCATACCTATTACCAAACAACTGCCTAAAGGTTTTGACTTTTGGTTCACATATAAAGCACGTAAAAATGAAATAAAAGAATGTGTAGATCCAAGATCAATCAAAATATAATCATCTCTATAAAAAATAGACAACATACCCATAATAACATCTGTGACTCCTCTACTACCTACTGAGTCATAACAAAAACCTTTCCTCGGGCCTTCAATCGTCCTACTTGACCTTTCGATTTAGTACCACTACCACTTGTAATATTGGACTGGACCGTGCTGTTTGCACCTGCTATATTAGCCGAAGCATCTCTCTCAATTTGATTCTGTCTTGTATTACCATCATTCTATTGAGGAAGCATCCTTTGCAACATCCCGCTCTCTTATGATAAAATTGAACAATACCTTCTGAGGTATCCACCCTGGCTACTATGATAACAAACGCTAGTTCCCTTGAACTTTGAACACTCTTCGAGATGAGATAGTCCACATAATTGACAATATGGAAATCTAGCACTGCTGAAGCTATCACCCTGTCTGGGATAAATGATTGTTGAAAAGAGCCCCGAATATGAAGATGGCTAGTTAATGGCTGCTGCTTAGTGCTATCACTAAATTTGGAACCTCGACTTTCTCGTGATTTGGGCTTGAATTTACTTGGACTGGACACACCATGTCAAAATCCTTTATTGTCCTTTTGTGGTGGTCTATAGCTAGAAGTAACCACCAATGTTCTTATTGCTTATTTTGAACTTTGTTTGTTCTATACCAATTGGTCAATCAGAAATACTCTTCTCTACTCTCAAAGTTGATTCAACCAATTTGCCAAATTCGTTACAACCTATGACCGTCACTGCTGACCCGATCTCTTTTCTTAACCTATTTTCAAACCATCTATATTTATCAATTTCATTATAATCAAAACCTGAGCATACTTTGAAATTTGAATGGATTTCGCTTGATATTCTGGAATAGTTATCTCCCCTATCTTCAAAAATTCCTCTTTTTTTGCATCTTTATATGAATGAGGGGAGTAAGCATTATAAAAGGTACATTCGAAATCTGTCCAAGTGATAATAGAAGGTCCCGATCTGTACTCTATACCGATTGCCACCAATCATATGCACCCTCTTCTAACAAGAAAGTGACAACACGCAACTTCGGATCATCTGGATAACCCATAACATCAAATACACTTTCTATCTTGATCATCTATGTTTGAGCAACTACAGGATCAACTATGCCTGTGAAAGCTTTAACCCCTAATTTCATAGCCCTCTCAATACTGAGATCTTTTTCATACCACGCGTGGCAGAAACAATCGTAGTAACAATACTTTCAATAGCCATTGGATCATTTCCAACCACATTTCCCTGTCCCCGATGTTCAGAAAGCTGATGACCTGATTCATCTATTCTCTCAAATTCTCTAAGTTCATCTCTATTAGGAGAAATATGAGATCGAGGCAACACATCTTAGAGCCTTCGAGTTCTACCATCACGAGGCATAACTCACCTACATTTATGCATGATTTGTCAAACACCAGAATGTATGTACAATGCAAGCTATGGACTCTAAAACATGCTCTGATACCACATTGACACGCTGCACTCTGAATAACGTAGTGGACTTGAAACGTGATGATAGATACTAACTTAAATTTAGACTCACCATCAAGGCTATTATAATGTGCACAATTTCATAAATTATTTTTTATAGAATTTGGACATTATGTCCCCTGTAAATATGACTAAACGACTTGTAATTCACTATGTACAATTCCCAAAGGTAACATAACACAATAGAGAGAAGTAGAAATCTCAACTTTTGTTATGAAAATAATATGAATGTACATATGGATGCAAAATACATAGTGAACCCAATAACTATCTGCAAGTGACGTAAAATCACATCAAAAAATGAACACGTGTTCCAAAATATTGGCTACATGCTCCATGAAATGAGTCATATTCGTAAACTTTGTCGCTTGGCTTTGACTCCAAAATCAAAGGCTGAATTCTAAAAGATGCCCAGAACCTCAATTACTACATGATAAGAAAAATCGTGAAAAAATATATGAGTTAATAGCTGAGTGAGTAAAGAAGTTTGAAAATAAATATACTTTTTCATTTATATATTTTTATCAAAATCGAGTCTACATTACTTAATATGTCATAATATAACATTATATAATAAGAATCAAAATAGGAGTAATTTTTGTAATACTGAAAAATATCATCTCGCATACATGATAAAATCATTAATGTAAACTCGAAATATGTTCATTTGAAACTTTCATTTTTATTGGGCCCTTGACACACCTACCATGTGCTGGATAGAGCTCTCCGTAATATCAATATCAATAATCAACTGGGCAAGTCAAGTGACCCATCCTTCAGTGGTTATTAGTGGTACATCCCCTAATAGCCCCCATGATTACCCAAGAAGTATTCCACCCAAGATGCCAATAATCACCATATCACAACGGCACAAACAAGTGGTCATTTCTCCCGTGATCACCAAATGCACATCCCCTAACTACCCTTGCGATCACCGGAGAAGTTTCACTTGCGGCCAACACAATGGCATGCCTCGGTGTCCTAGTAGTGGTCAATAAAACATATGTATCACGTTCCAATTCACAAATAATCCATATTCAATATTGGAAGTTCCACATATCATATTGAAGAAAACTTTCATAATAATCATATAATTGAACAATTAATTTACATAATTGCACGTAATGTAATAATATATATAATTTATCGATGGTTGAAAATAGTTAAGTTATTTCCATCTATAGAACTATGTATGCAAAATTAACTTGGTTGGTAGGTTGTCCGATCTCTGTATTTTCGCCTTAAACATGATGTAATTTTTAAAGTAACAATTAACCAATTTAAGTAACTTCAATAGTTAAATATGCGATACTAAATCCTACAAATGAAATATTCCATTTATATAATCACTTCCACAATTAATTAATTAAAATCCCCAAAATCGGATTCTAGGGTTTCCAAAATTTTCATTGCCTAAACACCTTGTTAAAATTGAAACATAATTAATCCCTAAGCTTGAGCTCCAAATCATACATATATCACATAAATTTAACATTTTATTATTACATGATAAAACCCTAAAAATTTTAATATAAACCATACTTAATCATCTAAGACAAATGGAAAAATTTAACCCAACTTGAAGATATCAACCTTACCTCCTTTCCTTTTCTTTTTCCCCTTCTTCTTCCTTTTTCTTTTCCTTTTTTCCCTTTTTCTTTTCCTCTTTTTCTCTTCTTTCTCGGCTGGTTCTGCTTCTCTTCGTGTGTGTGTGTTTTGGTGTGAAAATGAGAAAAAAAATGGGTCAAAGGTTGAATTAATTTGTCCACAATCCCATAATTGCAAATTAAGTCCCTTAACTTTACTTTTTAGTAACCTTTAATCCTTAAACTTCCAAAAGTATATATATAAATTCCAAACTTTTAAATATATCCAATTCAGCCTTTATATTTTGCCAATTGCAAAATAAACCCAAATAAAATGATTTGGTCAATCAAGTCCCAATAAAAATGATTTATTTCATACAAGTCCTCATTGGACTTGACTTTGAAAGTTCCACTATTGAATTTGACTAGATAAAAATGTGGGTTGTAACAAATACCCACCCACCTTTTGACACCCCATGTGTCTTCAACAGTCCCGTAGTCTTTCCACTTTTCTCATTTTGCCCTTTCCCCACAAAAAATATACCCAAAATCGCGCTGCACTGTGTAGACGGAACCGCAGAATCGTTGAAGGCGATTTTAAGCTTTCGGTCAAATTGTCTGGCCCACTCCTTTATCGTCCATCAAATACTTCTTCGGCCACACCATCGTCTTGTCAGAGCTCAGGTAGAACAAGGCGATCGAAACTGTAACCCATTTCGTAGCAACAAATTCGTTGAGGCATCACCCCATAACGTTGTTGCCGCAAATTTGCATTGCACTAGGGCGGTTGAGCACTGCGACTGTGAAATATTAGTCCCTACACAGGTGTCGCTGCTGCCTCTCCTTCGCATCTAAGCCGACGGAATGGATTCGGCCAACAAACATATATTTCGACAGCCTACATAATTATTTTCACACTTTCCTCTAGTAAGCACCACTTGCTGATGCCCACTCTTTATGCATGCAGACGGGATATGAGACGGACCCTATTTAACCTAATTGACTCGACACGTGTCGTGCGCCGATGGTAGATACCAGCTAAATGCCGGATCCACCACCAAGACAAACATGACCTACTTGACTATGACATAATTCTATAAAAATTTTGACAGAATTTCCCCCGTAACATGGACAAAATCAACCTGAAAAATCATCAAAACCTCAAATAGACATTTAAACCAAAAGTTTTGGAAACCACCACTTCTACAACAAAATATAACAAAATTCGATTGAGTGCTTCTACAATATCATCATGTCAACATGCAATCATTACATCAATTACCAACCTTTCTACAAAGTGCATGACACACCAAATATTAGACAAGTACTTAATAAACATGAGTTCCCCAACTATACATTACATACTATGAAACGGTATCTTCTGCTTCAGCAGGCTTTTCCCAGTATCTCAAAATCGACGGTCTCCTGATAGGAAAAACATGACAAAAATATGAGTTTGTAACTCAGTGAGTGGATGATTTGCAAATAAGTAAACTTTTTCCATTTATGCATATTTTTTAAAAATTTTAACTTTATTAAATTCTTGAGAATTTCTGAATCTAGTAATACTTTTAAAAACTAAACATGATTTCATTATAAAATTCTTTATTCTAAATTCTAGATAAGTATCTGTGAGATATAGCAAATATAAAGAATTTGATATTCATGAAAATCTATGAAATATTGTTGCTGCTCAACACTATATGTTGAAAGCTTTATTCTGAAAACTGAATTAACTGAATTCCATAATCTGAAATCTGAGAACTGAATAAATACTGAAAAATCACACCATAAAGAGTACCCAATGAATAGTCTTACTCATGTACAGAGTAATCTCGATGTACAAGGTAAAGCCATTCAAATCTGATAATCTGATAGTTTATAATCTGATAATCTGGTCATACGTACGCAGAGCTGCCCCAAAGGCTAATCACCCTAGTGCACGGCCCAAAGCCTGGGAGATTTTTATAAATGACCTGCTACTATTCATTTTTGGTAAAATGTCTATAATACCCTTAATGAAAGGATTTGTCATATTTTGCACAAGATATCCTTAATTTATTGGGATTCCTCTATTTCTCTCATTTCGAGTTTTAATATATAATTCCATCCTTTGTTCTAATAAATTAGCATAATCTGTAATATAATTGTCATGTAATTTACTAAGATTATCATATTCCTCAGATAAAATATCCATAATCTCTAGTTGAGCAAAAATATTTCTTATTTTTTCCAATAATTTTTCTAACAGATTATCTAATCCTTTAATTGTATAACCTGGCATTATTCAGCTAATTCCTTGCAAGTTTTATGAATAATAGTAACATGTTATATGAGTTTTTTGCAAACATGAAAAGTAATAACTCCTACGATTCTTTCAAGTTATTAGAAGAATTCTTTTTAAATTTAACAAAGACAATAATTTTACCTTACTTTTGATCTTAAATCTGTATTCTTAGAATCGAGTGACCTTCAGGCTCTGAATCTACAAACTGCTCCCTTAAACGGCCTCTTGTCTCAATGAGAATTCTGCTATTTCAGCTTCTGCCCTCACTGTATCTTTTCTTAGAATTACGAGTAAAGATCTTAAGTAAAGAAAATTATTTCTTTGTTAAAGTAAGAAAGAAATTATCTTCTTCAATCTATCAAGAATCTATGGGATAGGAAGTTTAGAAACTCATATTTTTCTGATATCAAAATATTGAAATTTTATTTCTATAATGATTTATACAAGGTTTCTATTGTATATAAGAGGTTTCCAAAAAAATTGGTTTTGAAAAAAACTTAAGGAAAGAGAATGGTTTCTAACTCGAGATGATCCATTCTTTCCTCAAAGACCTCTATTTATACATGACTCAAACTCACTATTATTGATCTATTACATCATTGCATACATTAGAATTTTGAAAAAAGGCTCACATGCCTCTCTATTCTTTTCCTCCTGGGGTCTACATCTTCACATGCATTTTTTGCTTTTTCATCAAAGTGGCATCTTTTCTTCTATTATTGCCTTGTCATCTTTGGATTCATATGCAGCTGGCTAGATGCTTTTCTATTATTGCTTTTCCATCTTTGTCTTCATACGCAGCTGGCCAGATGCTTTGGTAGTGGTAGGTTATTTTCCATCCATCAATCTCTCAATTTTGTCTACATGTGGGGCACTCCCTCAATCTGCATGATTCTTGAATTGTTGTTGGACGTCCATTAATTTGATGAGTATATCAAATTTCTGGATATATTCTTTCAAAATGGTAGATTTTTCTTTTCCATTATTTGTAAGGAGTGTCCATCCTTCATATTGGCACAAGCATCTGAATTTTTTATCATATATGTTCTTTGCAATGTTGTAAAGAACTTTCATCCCCAAAACTCTTCGAGATTTTATCCATGATTTATTGATTTTAGGCAATGGTCTATTATTTCGGCCAACTTCAATCTGGAAATCTCGGCCAACATATCCAATTGTAATAATATGTTCAGCAGGATAGTATATCCTTCCATCAACTTCAGGACTTA